GTGTATATGTAGCCCTTATACCCCAGAATTGGCTGATTTACTTTAACAGTTGCAAGTTTAACAGTGAATCACTACACTTATATTAGTGTGTACTTTTCAGAGTCAGAATAAAATTAAGTATGTTTTTGTTTCCTCTAGTACCTTTTTTTTAACCCAATTACATTAGGGAAGAGTCAGTGAAATTAATGCTGTGTTTATATTTACTATCCTCTTGTAATATTTCAACAGTTATGATATGCTACACATAAAGTGGCCCACTGCAATTATTCTCTACACCTGCTCAAATGGTCTGGTCTGCAGGTGTCGCAGTTCCATCAGGGGCAGGTGTAGGGTCAGGGAAAGCAAACCCTGCGTAGGCTTTTTAACTCCCTAACTTTCTGGTTTAAGATATACTACCTGAGAGTTCTTTTAGCATCTGTTTCCTTATGCAAAGAGGGGCTTGAATTATTTCACACAAATAGTAAAATCTGCTAGGCATTGCGCTAAAATTCTTTGTCAGTAAATCCTTGAAATAGTGTTAATACGGCAAGACATAAGGCAATACGGCCTCTAGGAGCAAAGCCCAGTGTTGGAATGAAGAAACACCTCATTAAGATAACATCAGTTTTCACTGTAGGAACAAGTATCAGGGAAGTACCCTGGCATTCTGAAAGTCAGAGATGCTTCCCTTTCTGTGTAATCCTATTAAAGGGATAGTCTTTTTTTGTTCCTGGTTTAAATTCCTGGGACTTGTATAGCTAATGTGGAACAGTATGTAAAAGGTGAGACAAGGGGCACAACAGCTAGTATGATTGCTTTGTCTTTTCAAAAGGAAAGGTTTTGTAGAGTAAAGCTTGATAAGTACACGTGTAAACTCACTGCCATTCAAGTGGATGCCGACTCATGGCGACCCTATAGTACAGGGTAGAATTGCCTCTGTGAGTTTCCGAGCCGGTGACTCTTTCTGGGGTAGAGTCCTGTCTTGCTGAGAATGCCTGGCGGTTTCCAACGCTGACTACAGCTGTCAGCCCAGCTTGTAAGCCACCCCACCAGGGCTCCTCTAGTGAAAAAGGTACAGTGAAGCTTGATAAGCCTTTTAGGGTTTTGTAGCTCATGGTAGAGAAAACATATTCCTGAAAGAAAAAATAAAAATGTATATATGCACGTACATTGTTTCCTTAACCTATAGTTGAGTAGGATATTTATTACTCATATTCCATTCTCACGTGCCAGCCACACCATTTAAAATAACAATCCTCTGTTTTGACTTAATATACCTATTGGCTCATAATGCTCAGTTGATAGTGTCATTTCAGGTAAACTAGGCTCACTTTACCATTTAAAGGAAGTGAGTCCAATGGAGAGAGAGCACGTAATTACCCTGAAATATATTTAATTACCATTTCATCTATACCATTGAGAACATATTTTGAGAATAATTTTCAATTCAATTTGTAGATCAAACTTAATGTACCATTTCCTGCCTGACGCTTCAAGAATGAGTTATATTTTGTTCTGAAGACAAAGGTTGTTGTATATGCTACTTGGTAAAAACATACATAATATCAAAAATGTATATACCTATACATATATATAGGAACACTTACTGAGCTGTAAATTATCTAAGTGTGTGTAATTTTTTCACATGTACACTTTATGTTTATGTGAATGAGAGGAAATGTCAAGAGTGTTTTTGCCAGGGCTGGCCAGTGGTATTGTGAATTGGCCTTTTATTTTGAGGACCTCAGAGGGACAAAGGGCTTGCTAGCCGAGGCAGCTACTCTTCTGTCTCGATAGACATAGGCCTCAGGTGAGGAATGAGGGCAATGAGCTAGCCAGTTGGAACACTGATAACCCTGCCTGCTTCCCTCCTAGGCAGGCTCCGGGAATTATTATGTTCCTCATTAGGGATGTTGAGATGGAGCACTCAGTTAAGTGATGGAGTTACTCCATAAGCCTTATTTTTTTTCACATGCCTGAGCCCTAACTCTTGCTCGCCTTCTGTGTTCCCAACCTTGAGAGCTGCAAGATACTTTTCAAACATCACAAATAATGTTGCTTCTTAATTGAGAGTTGTCGGCTTTAAGTCTGTCTTAATGAACTAGACAAACTGAATGCCTTCGTAGTGTTAATCATGATTAGTTTTATTATTAATAACACCCACAGATGCCTGAAAAGTTAGGACGTATATGTGTAATTGTTAGGTGTCAAATCACTTTTGCCCAATAACCATCCTATGTGCAATAGCAGGGCACACTGTCAGGTCCTGTGCCATGCTCACATTTGTGGGTATGCTTGAAAACATTGCTGCAGCCACGGTGTCAGTCCATCGCATTGCACGTTTCCTCAGACCCTCTGCTTTACCAAGCATGATGTCCTTTTACAGGAAAGATTAATTCAGGCCTCATTGAAGCTCAGCCTGTTACCATAGCCTCTTAACCTACCCATTTCAGAGCTGTGTCACGAATCATAAACCTGGGTCCTCAGATTGTACACATGCCGAAGTTATTCTTTCCATAAACTTTATTATTTCATTATTCCCTACTGAGGTTATTAGTAGTAAATTTATTCAAACCAAAAAAAAAAAAAAAAGAGTGTGCCTTTAGATTCTCTATCTCCCTTGGCGTCCCACTTGGCACTTGGGAGAAAGCCGTAGCATAGGCTGCGGGGCACTGAGAAGTGACAGGCAAGCTGACCCGAGTGCCTGGGGCGAGTGGTTAACAAAGACAAGGAAGGAGCAAGGAGAGTCCAGTGGGCCTGATAACAGATTGCTCTGGGGTTCCCAGATTGCGAGTTCTAAACAAGGAGAGTACTGTGAAGCTACAACTCTGAGGATTGAAAAATACAGAAATAAAAAGGGCTTTTATTAAAAAAAAAAAAAAAAGCAAGAAAGCCAAACCTAAACCACAGGATTCCTCCTTCTTCTCTCTCTTTTTTTTTTAAATAAGCAGATGAGTATTTATTTCATACTAAGGAATGTGCTCAGTATATATACACTTTTATGCTTTATTCTTTTACCTAATCTGAGTACTTTCTTTCTTTTTTTTTTTTTAACATTTTATTAGGGACTCATACAAGTGTTATAGCAATCCATACACACATCAATTGTGTAAAGCGCATTTGTACATCATTCTCAAAACATTTTCTCTCCACTTAAACCCCGACATTAGGTCCTCATTTTTCCCCTCCCTCCCCACTCCCCCGTCCCTCATGAGCCCATGATAGTTTATAAATTGGTATTTTGTCATATCTTGCCCTGTCCGACGTCTCCCTTCACCCACTTTTCTGCTGTCGGTCCCCAGGGAGGAGGTCACACACAGTTCCTTGTAATCGGTTCCCTCTTTCCTACCCACTATCCCTTTACCCTCCCTGTTTCGCCACTCACACCACTGGTCCTGTGGGGCTCATCCGCCCTGGAATCCCTGTATTTTCAGTTCCTATCTGTACCAGTGTACATCCTGTGGTCTAGCCAGACTTGCAAGGTCGAATTCGAGTCATGGTAGTGGGAGTGGGGAGGAAACATTTAGGAATTAGAGGAAAGTTGTATTTCTCCTCCTCTTAATGTATAGAATATTCCTTTAGAGTTTGTGGTGGTTTTGAACTGCTGACCTCGCATGTTACCGCTCAATGTGTAATCTCTGGGCTACCAGAGCCCCATGCACATGGGATACATAAATATATTTCATATACTATTGAAGTAAGTTGAAGATATTTCACATATTATTGAAATAGGATACATATTTTTCACTCATTTATGCTTTCTAGAAGATTAACTCACCCTGTTTGAGACGTAACCCTTTCACTCAAGAATATAGCGCTACTTTAGCATCTTTCCTTTAGAAATGAATGATTTGAGAATACAGAAATGCTTATTCATT